TTGTGTGATCAACAATCCTCTACTTCATTTTCACAGAACTTGATAGTGGCCCAAATATACTGCAGCCTCTTTACTGTAAAACAAGGTGATCGAATTCTAGGACAGAGTCAAAAGCCTGTAGTTAGATATGCTCAGAGTGCATCACTGAAAATCAGACATTAACTGAAACAACAAATCCTTCCACTAAAACAAACTGGCAAAGCCCAGCACAAAAGCACACCAACAAATAGAATTTTGAGAGGACAAAGCAACAAAATGTCTCCAAAACTTGTTAAAGAAAATGTTGCATTTACACACAAATGCATATTATTCTGCAATAAAGAAAGATAAATGTGGATGCTGGGAAGATGGTGGATCAATAAGCAGCAAAATAAAGAGCCTCTCTGAGAGAAACAGCTCAAATGCAGGAATAAAACATCCTGGAGAAGACCAGATGAAAAGAAGAAACCAAAGGAAAAAAAGAAAAGAAAAACATGGATGGATGACTGTAGCCAGATGTGCTCTCACCTGAATTGGTCCTATTGCGTACAAAATACTGCTAGAATCCAAAGACACATGGTCACAATGAAGTTGGCGGTTGATGAGCTCAAGGGCCTCAGCAAGAGGATGCAGTTGCAGAGGGGAGTGGCAGAGCAGACAACATTACTGGCTTGAAGATCAGCCCTCACAGTGAGTATGAGAAACTTAGTCCTCCCCTGGGAGTGGGCAATTGGTCGGATGACATTTTGGAGTTGGACAGAGTAAGCCCAGAACTAGAACTACAGCAGCTTCATTCAGCCCAATCCTAGCACAGGGCAGATTGGTGAGAATTTCTTGCACTGAGTCCTCCCCCTGTGCACAATCCAATAGCCAAGGACAAGGTCACCCTGAAGCTATCCTTAACCAGCCCTGTCTGCATGGCACACACTAATGTGGTGAAGACTCCCAGTGGTTGACCAGTTCAGAAGGGAGATGGCAGCCTGCCCACCCCTGCTTGTACTTCAGTGGTCATCAGAAGACTAGGGAGGGCAACAATCCCTAGCCAGCATGCTTCAGAGTAATTACAGCCAGTTCAGGAAGTGCCTGGGAACCCCATTATCCAGTTATCTAGAAGAAGCCAGAAACATGACAAGGGGAACAAACAAAAGGAAGTCTCTAGCCTCCAACCCAAGCAGTACTAGCCCAGGAGAGGTAAACACAGAAGAGATCAGGGGTTGCACACTTGCAGTTCCTGAAAAAGCAGCATCTGACATAAAGAATTATTTTTGTGACATTTTAAAGAACTCCAAACAGAAATACTAGTACAAGTAAAGTGAAATATAAGAAAAATAATAAAAGAAATGCTAAATACATCTCACAGAGACACAGATGGAAGAACAGAGGAGCATATAAAAGGAGAGAAATCTTTAATAAAGAATACAAAAAGTCTAGAATTCATGAAACAGATTCAAAGAGATTACCAGAAAATTAAAAACTCCATTGAAATCTGACAAAACCGCTTGAAAGGAGCTAAAGATAGACTATCAAACTTTGAAGACAGGTTTGCAGCTTGCAAAAGATCTCTTAAAAATAACAAGGAACCAGGAAGTAACAATACAAAGGCTAGAGGATGACAAGAGGATCTATAACTTAAGAATAAAAAATGTGAGTGAAGAAGCAGGGGTAAACACAAATGAAATACAAAGGCTATTCACAGAAATAATTAAAGAAAACTTCCCAAGCATAGGAAAAGGAAATGATATTCAGATTTTTAAGGCATACAGAACTCCAGCCAGCTATAAACAAAATGGATCGACACCCAATCATATAATAAAGATCCCAGAAATTCAACACAAGAATAAAATAATAAAAGCTTGCAGAGAAAAGAAACAGATCACCTGTAAAGGAAAAATCCATCAGAATCATGACAGACTTCTCAACACAAACCCTCAAATTAAAAAGAGCTTGGAGTAAAGTAATCCAAGCCCTGAAAGAAAATAACCTACAACCCAGATTTATGTACCCTGAAAAACTATCTTTCAAAATTAATGGAGAAACAAGATGCTTCCATTACAAAGAGGAACTGGAGAAGTTCATGACCACCAATCCAGTACTACTAAAAATACTGAAAGACATTCTAGAGAGAGAGGAAAGGCCATGGTTTCAAGAACAATGACAGAGAGGGCTCACTGAATGGGGCAGGCGTGGGACGAAGGGGGAAAGTAGACAACCAATGGCAGAAAAATAGCATGGCAGAGAAGGTTGGCCATAATCACTAACATGGATGGACTTGATGTATTAATAAAAAGAAACACAGGCAGAGTGGAACAGGATATAGGGCCCATCAAGATGCTCTATATAGAAATATAATTAACCTGAAAGAGCGTTTAAGGACTGAAAAGTCAAAGATGAAAAATTAATGCTCTATGTGACAGGGAACCAGAAAAAATTTGAGGTAGTTCGCCCATCACCTGCAAATTGTATGGAAAGACAGAACACTTTTATAGAATAGAAAATATCCAGCTATAAGGAAGAAAAACCTTGAGGCTCTTGTAGGTAAATGGATACAACTTGAGACAAGCTCAGAGGTAAAAAGGTTCAGAACCACTTAGGTAAACAACGAGTTACCTTCTTAATCTAGAAACTAAAGGAGTTAGTGGGATACAAAATGTACAATGCACTCTGTGAAAGTAATAGAGAAGGAATTATCTAATAAGGGAAGGCAGAGTACATTGTTAATCTTGTATCATGATTGAAACCCATATGGTTTTCATCACTCTGTTTTGTTTAGTTTAGTTATATTCTGTTCCAGTTTGTCTACTTGTACTAGACTTGAGGGCATGGACAGTTACTCCAAAGATAGCAGGATATACTACAGTAACCATTTTTAATTTCGTATCAACTCACTCTGAAACCTTGTATTGCCTTCACTGCCTTGTTTTGACTGATTTTATTTGAATATGTTTTGTTTCACTGCTTTCTTGACTTGACTGGTTTTATTTGGATCTGTTGTGTTTGATAGTATCAAGTCTGAGAGTATAGGCAATTACTCTGAAGACAATAAGATTCACTATAATATCCATTTTAATTTGACTATTACCCACTTTTGAAATCCTATAATGCCTGCAATGTTTTGTTTTTATTGATTTTATTCCATACTGCTATGTTCAATTTTATTGCACCTGATGATATGGCCAATTCTATTGAAGATAACAAGAAACATCATGGGAACCATTGTCAATCACCTTGTATTGTGGTTTTAAATCATGTACTGTCCATTCTTTTGTTTTGAATGACCCTATTTTGGGTTTGTTTGTATTTTTTTTCTTATTTGGTTTTATCCATTTCAAAATAAAAATACAAAATAAAACAAGAATATAAACAAGTTGTTGGTAGGAAAATAGGTACACCTTGAGTAATATTAATTTAAATAAATCAAACACTGCTTGACTATCACATATTTTATGTCAATGAGAAATTCAAATCATGAATAAAAAGCAAAATAAAGGACAGATGGTGAACAGTGAGTACATGGGTCTTTTTAGATGGGAAGGGGATTGGGAGATGAAGGAAGGTCGAGAAAGGAGAGGAAAAAAAGATTAGGAAAGGAATCAAGCTGTGTCATGTAAGTGTTCAAGCTCCACACAAGGAATATTAAAAATATTTTCAAAAGGATGGATATAGAAGGAAAAATGAATTATGGATCAGTGAATCTGGAAAAGCATGTTGAAATGTTAATTCATTATTCATTATTCATTATTAAACTTTATATCCCAGAAAATTTGTGAATGGTACCAACAAGAAGGATCTGTGTTACACTTCATTTCTCCCACTTGTGTCTAAGATTAAGCTAGACAGAATAAGATAAGGAACCAAAGAGCAGGACATAAAAAATACAGTTCACATTGACTTAGGTTCTATCACTTAAAATAAAAATTATAATTAGAACATGGACTCTAATTAGCTTAAAATAGGAGGTAAATTTCAAATATAAAAGGTTATTTTGTAGACCATAATAACAGGAATATTTTAGCTTACAAAGTGAATTGAAACTGGAGAATCAGAGAAATATTCTCATCATTCCATTTAAATAAATGTTTTCATGACTATGGTCCAGATTTCTCTTCCAACTCTGTGTGTTACAAAATATGCATCATCATTGATCAAAAATTAATATCTCCAGAGACAAAATGAAATATATTGTGTCTGGGTAGTAATTGTGGTCTGTCTTAGTCACTTTATGCTTGTCGCTGAGACAAAATATCTGAAGCCCAAAGTTGGGAAAGGAAAGGTTTATTTCTTACAGTTTTTGGAGGTTTCAGTCCACACTCAGTTGTCTCCAAGACAGGCAGGCATGGCTGGGCTGCAGTTCATGGTGGCTGCCCACAGCAAACTCCAACCAGCAAAGAGAAAGACACACCTTCTTCCTGCCATTACATCACATCCTGGCTCCACCCCTATGTGGGTGGAGCACTGACACCATCAATCCAAGCACTATACAATGAACCATCACATATGAACAATGCAAACTCATGAGGCCTGGGGGACACAAACATAAACCATGACATGGTCTATTTGTGAATACATGTTCAAGAAGGGATTCATCAGTTACAGAGCAAATTAGAGACTCGCAGCTTCTATATAAACACATTTTTAAAAGGAAAAATAGTTTTAAAAATTGGGCAGTTGATGGATTGATAGGGGGAGGGTCAAACAAAGATTCCAAAGAGTTGATTACTAGGAAAAGGGCCTGGTACAATATTAGTGTTGAAAACATGGGGCAAAAATTAAGGAAATAAAACTACCAAATTACATTCTGTACACATTATGTCTTATTCAGATACCAGTTGAAATTATAAAAAAATCTTAGAATACAAGAATCATTCCCCTTAATTTCTTGCTTGAAATAAAAAATTATAAATGTTTATCCTGTACACTTTCATCTTAAACTTCTATAATGCCAAGTAAATCAATTTAAAGTCCACAGATTTCTGCACCATCATTGTAGATGACTGGAAAGCTAAAATTCTACAGATTTGTGGTCATGAAACTTGATAAAAGACCATCGGCAAATTCCATATTTTCTTACGAATTTCTTTAGTCCTAATACCATAAATGATGGGGTTTAAAGTGGGTGGAATAACCAGGTACAAGTCAGCTAACAGCACTTGAGTGTGCAAGGGCACAGTGTCCTGCCCTAACCAGGCTACATAGAGAGATGACATTCCAGGTAGAAAGAATAGAACCATCACACCCACATGAGAGCCACATGTGGTTAATGCCTTCTTCTGAGCATTCTTTGAGGAAAGATTGAACACTGCCCTGAGAATCAAGATGTAGGAAGCAGCGATGAAGGTTACATCAGGACCTACAATAATGGAGGTAGAAATTAAACTATAGAGATTGCTGGGCATGGGATCAGCACATGCCAGCTTGGCCACAGCCATGTGCTCACAGTAAGAATGGGGAACCACACTGGAGCCACAGAATGGTAAATGACTCAACATCCAACTCAATGGAGTCATAACCATAATGCCTTCCAACACAATGGTCATGTTCATTATCAGCACCACTTTAGGTGTGAGAATTCTCTTGTAATGTAGTGGTTTGCAGATGGCTACATAGCGATCAAAAGCCATGGCCAGCAGCAGCCCTGTCTCTATAGCCGTGGCTGAATGGACAAAATACATTTGAGTAAAGCAAGCATTGAAGCTGATGGAGCCATTTCCTGAGCAAAAGATTTTCAGCATCTTGGGTACCACGGAGGAAGCCATAACAATGTCCACAGCAGCCAGAATGCACAGGAAGCAATACATAGGCTCATGGAGAGTGGAATCCATGCAGATTACAGTCACGAGGAGGGTGTTTCCTAGCAGGGTGATGATGTACATGACAGTCAGTGAGAAAGCCATCCAAAGATGTGAAGACTGCAAACCCGGAATTCCCACAAGGAAGAAGGTGGCAGGATTTTCTACTGTGTGGTTGTATGGTGACCCCAGCATTGTGTGTATGATTCTTTTCTTCTTATTATAAGGTATAAAATGATGAAACAAAAATTACAAATCTCTCATATTTATTTTTGCCTTGGTTTTGGTAAATCCTAAGGGTTTTCTCAGCTTGTAAATATTCTCAAGAACAGAATAGTAACATCTGATAAAGCTATATCGTTCCATTTTTCATCTTTTTCAAGTCTTTGTCTTACTAATTTCTGTTCATTGTTCCAGATTATTTCTTGGGTTGCCTCCTTCGAAAACTATTCTCTTCACTCTTGCTTCCATTTCTTGTTAGAATGGTACTCTTCTTCTGGATTCGTAAAATGTCCTAAGTTAGCCTATGAAATATTTAAATGGGGAATTCCATTATTCTACCTGTGAATGCACTCTATGCTCTCAATGTGTGTCATTTTTATGTGCAGACATATACCAAGTATCTGATCCTTACCTGTGGAATGCATGTGCATTTGTAAAGATATGTGTAGTCATGACAGTAAAGTTTCCACAACTTCATGACCAACCAGAGATAAGAAATTATCTTTCAGTTCCAGGTTTAGTTACTGAATTTAATAAATATTGACTGAAATAATGAAATTTTTTAGGTCAAGCTTGTCAGTGTTCATGTCCTCAGTTTACAACCTACAGAAAAAATTTCAGGAAACATCTTTATGGTTAATGATATTCAGTAATAGGTTCAAGAAAATGAGGTAACTAGAGAACATTATCCCTTTCCATCTGAGATAATGAATAATGAGGCTTTTCATCATCTCTACCTTCTTTTAGTTACCTTGAATTATATTCCATGAATATTTAAGTACACAAAATTGGGGATTATATTATGGATTAACTCCTATCATATTTTCTCATGATTCCTCAGTAAGGTTAACCCTGTATTCATGATAAAGTACCAACATATTCTAGAAAAAAGATGCTTTATCTTGTAGAACTTTTGTTTGAACATAGTATGTGATATATACCAGTATATTTTGAAAAATATAGTATTTATAATGTGATTATAGCTCTGTATTTTTAATGTAGAAAGTCATCTATACATGATAGTTGACATAACTGAAATGAAATATTTATCCAATATCACATAGCAATTATGCAGTGAATCTGAGATACAAATCTGAGTCTTGCCCCTGTGGCTCCCAAGAGTTGAACCCACCTAAGCATAACAGTTCAGACATAGAGCTGGATAGTTTTTTATAAAGTATATGGCATTACTTTGCTGTAAGACTGCACATACATGAACTAAGCTTCAAAGCTTGGGAATTTCTGCTTATTACTGAGCCTGCCCTACACTCACCTGATTCAAATGGTGCTATAGATAAAAGACATGGTAGGATAAATCAGTATTAACCACCAACACTGCATGATATCACTTTGTTGTTTTTTTCTTTTGATTTCATTTTGAGTTGGGCATTGTGTATAAATCAACCACTCTCTGGAAATCCTCCTTACAAAATCCCTTCTTTATTTAATGATTTCACTTGGCTTTAGAAACTTTCAGTTTTACTTATAATGGAACGTAAGAATTCTGTATACTTTTAGAGCCCCACTCAAAATGTGATTTCTTACCTCATCGAGGTAGAAAAACCTTGAAAGATTCATATGACAGAGATGAAAACCCTACTCTGTCACCTTGTAGCCGTTTTCTCTTGATCAAATTATGTAAACAAAAAACTCTCAATTTCTTCATCAAAAGGATGGAAATAATGTACTTACTTAAAAGGGATTTTTCTTGATACTTAAATGATAAGCTATGTAAAGTGATTACTTATACAAAGGTGCTCAATACAGTGTAGCTAATTAAAAAGGAAAGTGTCTTACCTGCTTCATCCTAGAGCCCAAATTGTACCAAATATCATACTTAAATATGTAAGCCCAAATTAATACATTAACACACACTTGTAATCACACACACACATGCAAACTCTTACAAGCACATACACACAAACATACATGCATGTACATGCATGCTCATTCCCCAACTGAATTGTACTGCCTTAGTTTTCTATTGGCCTTCTGTGACTTAACACTGACGATGTCTCGTTCAGCAGCAATATATTATAAAGCTCTTTGGGTCCCAATGTGGTGAACAGTCTACTGTACATTGTATGGCCACTATTTTAAGCCTACTATTTATAAGCCTACTGTTTAAGGCTCTTAGTTTAAAGCTTTCATCTTCTTACTCTGCCTGTTTACTTTTTATTTTCCAGTGTCACATCTGTGAAAAGGTCGGTCTTATATATACTTATATATACTTAGCTCTAATAACAAATTCTAAAAGTGGTTCACAACTGTGCTTCTGTATTATACTTGACAAAATTGAAATGAGATTAAGGATGGAGAAGTTATTTGATATCTGTCCATTACATAGGCCATTTAGTACTTTAACTTTTTTTCCTATTACTGACACATCAATTCTATCCCTAGGGTCAGGGACAGGGAATTTGATCTCAGAACTGGACTCTCAAGATCCCATGTGTGAAACAGACCATGTCAATTCCAATTATTTTCTTCCTCAGACACTTATGGCCTTAATATACTTCACACTTCTCAAAGCATCATCCTAATTGGACAACAAATAACAGAGTGACTTAGCAGTAGTCCTAATACAAAATCCCAGAGCTCTTACATTTCCAAGCTATTTTCATGAAGACCTCTTATTGTCAAAGTTTTAAAATATCCTGATTTTAGATATCATTTCCTGTGTCTTCCCTCAATAAAGGATTTCCAGAGTAAATAGTTGCCATAAAATTATCCACTGATACTGTCTCTATCTTCCATCTTTTAATTTCTCTTCAGGGACTTGGATCCTAGATCCTCCTGGATTAACTGAATAAACAGTTGAGAACTTGAATGATAGATTTCTGTTCCCAGATCCCAATTGTTGCAGTAGACATTTTCATCATTAACTAAGTATAAACAAACATTCACCTGACTCTCCATCCTAAGAGCACATATCGTCCCTTTTATTTCCATCTTAGAGAGCTGGACATTGATTAACTCCACACCCAGGTGCACACAGAAGATTTAAGGACAGTCTTCAAGAGTATTTTAAAAATCCAGCTGCCAGAACCTGATGAAAAGCTGTCATCTTCATTGAAACAAATAAAACAACAATAACAAAATCATAAGAACAAGAAATTCTGTGCAATTTGACACTGAATAAAGTAGAAAAGTCCAATGTTAGACTGTTAGATCCTTGCAGCATGTAACCCACAAGGTAAGGCATCTTCATTTCTGAATCAAGAGAAGACAGGAGAAAGCTTTCAAAGTAAACGATGGCTTAGAGTGACAAAAGTCTGCATATTCCTAAGGCTGCTATACCTGTTCTGGAAGCCACCAGTTCACTGTCCAAGGATCTGAAGAAGAGCAGAGGGTCCAGAATGTCTACCATTCACTCATCTCTGATCTAGTACCTTCTCCTCCTAGTTGCCCCAGGATAAACCAGTCTTTTTCTGAGGGCAACTTCACCTTACCCCCTGCCCCAACCTTCCTCTCTCCAATCCCAGCATTGCCACCTGACATCACTTTTATGCTCTTCAAAGTGCTTTTTCTTTCTTTCTTTCTTTCTTTTTTTTTTTTTTTTTTTTTTTTTTTTTGTCTTTTTTCATTTTTATCGGTACCAGGGATCGAACTCACAACTGCCTGCTTGCAAGGCAGACGCTTATGCCGCTAAGCTAAATCCCCAGCCCCCAGAGTGCTTTTTCATTCCCTTTATTTACTTTTCTTCTTGATCTTCTTGATTTGCGTGTACTGTAAATCTTTTCAGACAAAAGGCACTCGGGTAGACAAGCTGTCTCTTTTTTGAAGTTTTATTTCTTTCAAACTGAGATGAACAGTGAACAAAGATCTGCCAACAAAGATCTGTCACCAATTCATTGATGCAATTTAGTATCAGTGCCTCATGTTAGGACTGATTTTTTGATTGGCCTATAACCTATCTGCTAAAGATGCAGCAACCTAAGGTACACAGAATGACAAATTTCACACTTTGAATGCACAGATACACTCACATAACCCCTCCCCAGGCCAACATGCAGACACAATTGCTTCCTGACTGTTGAGAGGCACTTTTCAGGAAGCTCTCACCAAACTCCTAAAACACACTTTCAGTCCCAGGCCCAAAGGTGGCTTCAACTCTTGACCTCACCCAGAAACATGGAAATGAGATCTTGATGTTCAATCACTAAAACCTACTCAAACAAATCACTTCACAACAATAATTCAAACACAGACTATCAGAGAACTTTTATATAGTATTTAGAGCATGGGAAATTCATAATCCAAATTAAAATTGTTTTAGAGGTTTAAAAAAATAAAAGTAATGCAACTCACTTAAATAGAGCTGTATTTTAGAACACTTCATGTCGCCCTACCTGAGTGTCTCCTTATCCAACCAAACATACTTCCAATCAGTTCCTTTGCTTAAGTCTTTTGTCACAACTCTGCTTGGTCCCTGAAAACTGTTTTCCAATCATCCCAAGGTTGGACTTACCTTTCTTACATATTTGAACTATAATCATCTGTTCCATTTCCTCTCCAATCTCCTCCATCCTCCCATTATTTTCAGAAGGAGCTCTCGGTATAAGCAGTATGTTCCAGACATTGCCAGTCTTTTTATTGTTGTGTTGAGGATTTAAAATCCTCTTTTTTACATGACTCTGGGCTTTAGACTCCTCAGAGTCATCCCCAATCCCCACACCACATAGTTTTCTCAGTTCAATTTCTGTGATAGGCTCTTTTCACCCAAAAGAAGAGGAGTAAAAATACAGAACCCATCAAGAGGAGCTACAGGGACTCAAAGAAAACAATACAGAATTATGCTGAGTATTGGCCTCTTCAAAGCCCTCCCTCTGGGAGCCCTCTTCAATTAGATACTCAATCACCCTGTCTTTTCCCTGGACAGCCTGACTTCACTTGGCCTTGGCCCAGCAACCAAACGCTGTAATTCCTCCAGAGGCTCGGTTTTCTCTGCACTGTGTCCCTGGGGCTTTTCAGACTGCAGGCAGAGGTGGTTGCCCAGTGACTAAACAGTCTTTGTTTCTTCAAGTCCTCAGAGAATGCCTAA